TCAAGAGAGCTGCAGCTCTCAACTTCCATTCACGAGGGCGTGAACTTGCAGGGAAGCGTGGTGGATTGTAAGCAACCAAAGAAAATGACTCGAGATGCGATCCATAAAGGTTTAAATATAGAGGGAAAGAGCCCATAAATAAGAGTGCACCCCTTTTTCCTTTTAATACTTGGGGTTAAGCATCCTTGGGTTTGAATAGTATTGGGCTGGGTGACCTCCCAGAAAGTCCAAATTCAAGAGTTTACAGCAAGGTGACCTAGGTAAATTAGAGGTAGTTAAAGAGCTCATTTTTCTCTCTTGCTCTTTCCCTCTCACTCACTCTACACCTATGCTTATGCCTCCACCAAGATGCATCGATACTCCAAGCTTAGCTCTAAAGCAGCTCAAATGCCACCTAAAACCGCACAAGGGCAAATGCCATCACTGCAGCCTATTGGGTCGAGCGATCAACTCCACCCTTGAAGCACTGTCAATATAAAATCTCATTTAAGCACTTTCATTGGCACCGCACTATATCTTCTGATCACGTAACACCAAGTGTTTTACCTACAAATCTCCACGGATGGCAAAAATTTCTAAGACAAATTTGTGGAGGAAATTTTGTCTGACAATGAAGAGCTTGACTATAGCCAAATGAAGCTGTTTAGGGAGCTTGTGTTTTCTCCCTGTGACAAATTTTGGCTTGATGCTTTTGATATAGAGTTGCTCGAAGGAGAAATATTTATTCATTGGAGAAAGGATCGAGCTTATGTAGAAGTGATACCCAACGAAGTATGCATTTCTCTTTTAAGAGTGAGTCCATCCCTTTGGACTCATCCAGTTTGCTCAAATGTTTTGCCTAAATAACAAGGGCAAAATAATTAATAAGCAAGAAGGATCACATGCCTGATCAATATGTCCTCCCTAACTACACATCTGGACAAGAAGGCAATTTCACCTACTTAAAGCCCGACTATCATGCTAGGCTTAAGGTATTATGTGTCATCATCGACAGAAGGATGGTTGTGTAATATACCAGCATCAAGATAGCACACCTATTGGAAGTTATTGAAACTAGATGGCAAATAAATATAGCTCATTTTGCCTACAATGGATTTACAACCGAAATGAAGCATGTTGCCTTACATATAGGAAAGAGAAGGCAAGTAAAGATAGGAGTTTTCATCTTTCTGTGGCATATCTACGAACATTACACATCTCAGAAGAATCCTATGCCTTTCCTTACACCACCTCTAATATCTCCCCTGAGGGAGATAGCAAGGGATATGCAAACTTCCCAAAATCCCAATGATATGGATTCAAGTAAGGAAAATTTTCCCCTCAACAAGAAACTCCACCTAGATAAAAAAATCCAAGCTATAAGACCTCCAGATTTCGTTCCGCAGAAATGCAATGGCTGAGTATGCCATGAATAATCTAGACATAGCAAGTATGGTGATAAAATGCCACACCTAGATCAGAAACAGATTCATGACTCGCCTACATCTATAGAGACGACCCCGATGCCAATGCAAATCTCTTCAAGTATTGGGGAAGTGATGAGCACACAAACGGACAATACTAGGTGAATAATGGATATTGAAGTTGTGAAAGAAATTTGACAATTTAGGCCACAAATTTCGACACATGATGTGCCTATAGATGCCACAAAACTATTGGCCATAGACACAACTAATAAAGTGAGTTTAGGCTAAGAAGATCACAGCCAAGAAACTTACTAGGGCGAAGAGGATGAGGCTACAAAAGAAAGTCTAGGAGGAGTACGGGCTTAGTCTTCTTTAGTCCACCTATGCATCTGATAGTGACACACTCTCAGCCAATCAATATAGCGAGATGAGGCAACCACAACAACAGCAAATGCTGCAGCAACACTACAAAGTCAAGGTTAGCTGCACCTTCATTCACAAGGCCGCAAATCAGCTGAGAAAGCTAGTAGTCTGAAGCTTCATAGAGGAGCTAGCTCAACACATTAAAGGAAGAGGCAAGCAGCTAATCGACGAGCCAATGCAACTAGTAGAAGATGAGGAAACAACAAAATACCATTTGTAGGTCTTGAGCTACATCAAGATAATTACCAAGAAAGTGGATGGAGGCATAGGTGAGCAAAATCATCAGTGCCATATAATCCAAGAACTCAAGAGTACAATCCTGGTTTATTCTATCGTGTGCAATGAAAGCACTAAAAAACACTTTACTAGATTTTTGATGTGTTTTAAAGTTTACATTCATCTAAGTATACCTATTAGACTAAGGAATGATTTTATATTTACAGCCTTAAAAGTTGTAATTGGCTTGAACCTAGATCTAGCACTTGCTATTGATGGATGTAGTCTATATTTGGGCACAATGTAGAGTTTTAAAATAAATACATCAAAAGAATCCATGTTTAATTGGTGTTCATTATATTACTCATAAAGAAGCCTTATGTAAAAGATGATTTCAATTGTGATGGAAATTTTTTCTAATTCTTGTAATAAAGCATTCTGTTGGATATGACAAAGCATAATGTGACATAAACTTTTACAAGATATATTTGAGTCATATGAGGAAATTTGCTATAAATCCATGATATTCACTAGCTTTCAAAGAGGTTATATGGAAAGAATAGTAATTTCTATACAAGCAATTTTAGAGGCTTAAAATGGAAAGTGAAATAAAGTATTATGCACTTTAGTACAATTCTTTATCCAAATTCTTATTAATATATTAGTGAGTTGTGAGTGCATGGGATATGGAAATGTAATACAAAAATGTGTATATGAATTAGCCGAAAAGCCTTAGCTTATATATAGAAGTGAGTGGTCCAAATTAAAACCAATCTGATAGTTATCAAAAGTTCCATTAATATTAGTATACGATATCGTAACCATACATTTAGACCTCACAACATCCCCTCCTCTCAGGAGGATGGAAAGTAGTCAAGGTTCTTTGGTTGACAAGTTGGGATCTAGAAGAACATCAGAAGGAGGCACTATTGAATCTATAGTTGATATTAATTGTTTTTTATCCCTTTGTATAAAGTGTTTTAACTTTGCACATGCACAATTTTTGGAGGATTAATTTGTTGAATGTCATGCTAAATCTCATAACTTATGGTTCAACTTGCTATAACACATGATATGGTCCCTGCCACTGAACAAGAAGCTGCTTAAATAAATTATATACTGTAAAATTGGGAAAATGGATTAATATCAAATTGTCCATTTTATACATTACAAATGAATGATGATGGGAGTTGTGCTATTATTGTCCCACAAGTGGAAGAATGCTAGTTAAATATTGATCCCAAGACTTAGCATTGGCAATTTGTCATAATTATGAAGGTAAACTCAACTCTATCAATAATATTGGATTACAGTAATAGATCAAAATTTTATTGTAAATTTTTTAAATTAAATATATTAGAAAATGATAAAGTAGTTAGTATATATTTAATAAAAACACTTCAAAATATCTCATTAAGGATAACTTAAAAAAACTTTATATGTAAATAAAAAAATTTACTTTCAAAGTTATATTTATTATAAAAGCTCTACTTTCTATGTTTATTTCTCTTTAATTAGTTATTAAAGATTAAAATTTCAGCCACAAATCATAATATAAAACTTAAAAAACTATTTGAATACAATAAATCAAAAATAGTTTTTAATCTCTTATTGCAGTTTTTTTCTTAGTTTCTCTTTTTTAAATAATATATTAGATTAATAGTCTAGCTTTACTTCTCAAAAATATAAATTTATAAAATGATGTGTTTATTTGATGCTGCTTAAAATTATTTAAAATATCATTTTTATTAAATAAATATAAACTTGAATTATATCAGTGAATTAATAAGGTAAATTTATATAATTAATACTAATTAAACTATAAATGTATTATATTAAATAATTTATATTTTATTTACTAAATTAATTGAATATAATATATTTTAACAATAAATATACTTTAGTAAATTGCCTTAAAATAACTACATCTTCTTCTTCATATAATGTGTATAATTTTTTGGCATTTGTTGTTTATGTATACATATGTTTTATATATATATATATATATATATATATATATATATATATAAGTGCTTGGAATATGGAAAGGGAATACAAAAATGTGCATATCAATTAGCCCAAAAACCCTAGCTTATATACAGGAGCGAGTGGTCCAAATTGAAACCAATCCGACGGCTATCAAAATCCCACTATGCTAATATTAGTATACGGCATCATAACCATACACTTGGCCCTCACACATATATATATATATATATATATAAAAGAGAGAGGGTACTTAAGGAAAATATTTTATGGACAAGTTTTTCTAGACAACAAACAAGACTAACTAGCAATTCAAAATCATCACAATATATAATTCTATAAAATCACAGAGGTGAGAGTGCCGATCCCTTTACCTATAGCATGTAAAGTGATCAGTCCTAAACCCCTTTTTAACACACTTATGAGTGATTATAAAAACTTAGTAAAAACAATTTGGTTTATTTAAGCAAATGTATAGGGTAAAATATGTTACTATACCATCTAACGTATGTTATAAATTTAGATTAATCAAGTATAAATATATTTATAATTTATAAAAAATTTAAACAGCCATCTTCTGGATATTTATAAATTATAAAAACGTTTACAGTTATAGACTTTCTTAAGCACCATAAATAATCATATTACCTTACTGTGGTGGGTTGAGTGATGTGCTCTCCTATCATATATGTGATGATAGGAGAGTGGCAATTCTTTGCTGTCCTGCTTGTACTGTAGGATGTGGTGATGAACTTGAGAGAAAGAATGAAGGTAAGATTTTTCTTCATTTCATTCATTAGAACTCTTAATTTCTCTTGTCTAAACTTTGCATAGAAAACTCTGCTCTAAACTTTATATGAAAACAAACATATGAGTTACTACATTGTACGGAAATGAGTGGAACTTAAGGGCTTCGTGTCTTTATTTTGTTAAATTGTTTATGAACTTATAGCAATGATGATGGTGTAGGAGTTGGGCCTGGTGCTGATGCTGGTGATTCTGGTGCCAATGCTGGAGGTGTTGGTGCTGGTGGTGACAATAGGGGTGGTGCTAGTGGTGGTGGTGTTGGTGAAAGTGGTGGTGGTATTGGTGAAAGTGAAGGTGTTGGTGTTGGTGATAGTGGTGGTGTAGGTGGTGGTGGTTGTGTTCTAGGTGGTGGCGGTGGAGGAGTTTTTGGTGGTGGTTGTGGTGGTCGTGGTGGTAGAGGAGTTCTTGGTCGTGGTGGGGGTGGTCTTCTAGGTGGTGGTGGTGGTGGAGGACTTGGTGGTGGTGGAGGTGAACAAGCATTTGGAGTAAAATAATATGGTCCACAAGTGAACTTATTATTTCCATTATTGATGCATGTTCTTAAGGATTGGCCACTTGATCCACCATTTATGTCTGTTAAGAAAGAACACCCTCGTGGTGCTCTACTTGTATCCACACTCACTTGGCAACTCCCAATATCTGTTCCAGTCTTCACTAATTCAAAGATATTAAAGTATCCTCTACTATTTGTAAATGATGAATCACTGTCTCTTGGACAAATCAGGTTTACCTTGGCATCTGAAAGATTTAACAAGATTAGAAAAATACAGAAGATAGATCATTTTTCTTACTGAAGATGCCACTCTGAGAAAGTGAACCACAATTAGTGCAATAAACATAGCCTTCTAC